GTTAAGACCCCGTTTCAAAAAAATTTTTTTGTAAACTAGCTATTGAATGAGAATAGTAGTAAGACGTGACTTTGGGCAGATTTTTGTTTTTAATGGCTATTTCAAATTACTGTCGAATGTACAAAAAGACAGAATCTTTTGTTGCTCTTTATCCTAAATTCACTGTAGTTTTTAGTTTCATTATGTAACTCAAGAATTTTACAGAACATTGAAATGCCTCCAACAAGTTCTAAGCTGACTCAGGGGTTCACTATTAACTTCCAGACACCTAGATCTCCACCACACTCAACTTGAGATAATACAACTCTTGTGCAACAGAAAGCTTTCCCTAAATTCTGTTAATACTCAAAAACTTCTAGTTATTGTTAACACTACCATAAATAACTCACTGGGGGCTTGCAGTTCCACCAAATGTAAGAATGTTCCATGCCACGTATTAAAAGTGAAACAAATGAAATCCAACATTACCTAAACAAAACTCCATGAAAAAAAAAATCTGTTATTTCGTATTCTAATGATGATGTCTAATGTGAAAAGACTTAAAACTAAAAGCAAATGGACTGGGCTACCTTACAACTACCCACAAGATTAATTAAACGAAGAATTAATCCTTCCTACTTGCACTTTTTCCTCCCATCATAAACCGGAAACTCCAAAGGAAACAGAGAAAAGCCTATTTTTGTAAAGAGGAATAACGAGATTGCTTCCCACTCCCACAGTGTGAGTGAACAAATGAAAAAAGCAACGAGAGGAAGTGACGGGAGTGGGCCGCCGCCGGGAAGCTCACTTGGGGAGTCCCAAACACGCCACAGCTCTGAGGGTGCCCGCAAACATCTGTAACAACAGCTGCAACAGGGAAACCGGGTGTGAGGGGCGGAGAGTCGTGGCTGGGGTGAGGGAAAGGAGCTCTGAGTGGGGCCTGAACTCCTCTCACCTCCCCATTCCCACCTCCCCATCCAACCCATCCCGCTCCCTCCTTAAAGACACCCAATAAAAGCAGAGAAAACAAAGGGGCAGCTCCAGGCTCTTGGAGCGTCCAGAACAAAGGGCAGGGGGTGCGGAGCGAAACTCCAGAGAACAATGGGGGGCGGTAAGGAGACGCGAGGGCCCCTCTGGCCTCGCGCGTGCGGACCGAG